AGCCAGCCCCTGCGGCGCGGCGCCTCCCGCGGGGGCAGGGCCTCAGCCGCTGCCTGGGGCGGGCTGAGCCAGGGCCGCCCCCGGACAGGCGCTGTGCCGCTAGTAGATGTTCGTGTGGAGACAGGGCGGGAGAGACTAAGCACGAGCGGGGCAGGTCGTGCTCCTGCCTCACAGCCGCGTGAGCCCCTGCTAGCGGAAAGCAGCCACGAGAGTGCGGGCGGCAGTGAGAGCAGGGACAGAGCTGAGCGTGTCACCCAAATGCCCTCTTAGCTACCTACTGTGCCCGGGGGCAGAGAATGAGCTTTAAACACGCACATGAGGTACATGCAATTGCTTCAGCTCACAGCCATAAAGCGGTAGACGGGCCCCTGGAGAATCGATTCTCATGCACCTGCTGCTGCTGGCAGCTTTCAGACACTGGATTCTACACTTGATGAGTCACTGCCCAGCTGTCCTATGACAATTCTGGGACAGGAGACACTGATAGAGCACCCGAGTTCAAAATATTCACACAGCTATTGCATAATTATAGTGACATTCAGTACAGCAAAAGCTAAATTAGATGTAAAGGTATATATAATACCCTATCCATACCAATCCCATCTCTTTCTGGAGAATATGGTTCTAGATGTTACATTCCACAACTCTAATACAAGAAAAGTAGACCCATTAACACTAATTTTAATGTACTTTAATTTTCATGTTTTCAAAAATACAAGACAGCCCAAATTTGCAGTGAGAAAAAGTACTAAAATAGAGCGTCAAGTTAACTCCACAGAACTATATATTTATAATACAATTTTTACATAGACTATCCCAATAACTGAAGCCATTTATAAAACAAGTGTTTGTAAAGTCATTCTTATATTAAATTCTTTGCTTAAAAAGGCACTCATGCTTTGCCATCACTGAGAATAACTCATTGAGAAAGGTATTAAAGATTGATACTGACAAAGTGACTGAAAGATTTAGCCTCCATTCTATAAAATCCAGGCTGATGATGTCCAACCAGTTCTGATGCAGTAGCCACTACAGTGGCTACTATAGCAAACTAGCCACACACACAACTGGCCAAATAGCCACATGTGACTAGTGGCTAGCATGTTGGATACCATGGCTATATATGAAACTTCATGTGGGCAGACAATGGTTGCTTTCATTGGTCAATCCACAGAGAGGGACAAGCACCTGTTAGAACTCTTTCTCTCCCTCCTTACATCCCAGAGACTGAAAAGCAAAAGAGGTGACACAAAAAAAGCAGCTCTCATTTAAAACATTGAGGCATTAAGAAACATGTTTTCAAAGCGAGACACAGGAACTTCCCTACTGTATTCCCAGACAGGAGAGAAAGTGCTATGGAACTCTATGAACCCAACCTCCTTTAAATAAAGTGTTATAAAGCCAGCCTGATGGTTGATGTTTTACCACCCTATGAAATTCACCTATGCCCCAAGAAGCAAAATACTCTAAACAGTAGAGGCTGGAAAGTGGGAATACCTTCTGCATCTCATTCTTGTGCCTCCTCTCTGACAGTAGTCTTCCCTCTGAACAAATAAGGAGTAGCATTAATAATATTAAAAAAAAAGTCCTCTCTCATTTTCAGCAACAATACTAGTAGCCCTGAAGTAGAATATATAATCCCAAGGAAGCTGCCAAGAATGAGTCTTTCCCAGAATTTGGTAATACTCTTCTGTAACAGGAATATTTGATGCGACAGTTATTTTTTAAAATTGTATTTGAAAACACAAGGCCCTTAAGTATTTAACAATATTTTCACACGTAACTATGATTTCATTACTCAACCACATATACTTAAAAAGATTAGTAGTGAATAACATCATAAAACTTTATACTTCTATTGAATCTGTCATAATGCCTGCACGAATTTTACATATGGGGAAAATGAAGTGTAGCAAAGTATTCAGACTTGTCCAAAGTTATACAGAAACCCTGCAGCAGAGATGAAAACAGAATCCAGAAACTGAAAAAAGTCCACATTCCCATCTTTGAGCTTTTACTCTATCTATAAATCTCTTTATGAAGCGCATACATAACTTCTTTGCATCATAGCCCTTTAAAGCAATTTCAACAACCAGTTAAGACATTTTCCTCTTCCAGTTGAGGCTAAATTTAAGCAACTCTGTGGCAGTTTCTTGTAAGATTTTGTGGTCCTTATTCACGCAACACTACCAATTGTGTTCAGTTGGAATGTAACTTGCAGGACTTGGAGGGCTCAGAGCCTACCACAAACAAAGAAGATACACCCACCCAAATTAAATGCTATCCTTTCACACAGATCCTCATTGACAGAGTGCACACAGATTATTTCCATGTACAAAACAGTTACAGAGAAACCTATAAATAATGGCAAGCAAAAGGCCTGCTAGTATTCTGGCTGTAATAACAGCTGAGTGCATAATGCAGTAGGGATTTGAAACCAGTAAGCATCACCCTTAATGTATAATGCTTACTGGTTCCAGTTAATCGGCGGGGTATGGAGCACCTTCCTGCTGCTGCTGGAAGGGGGCTATTTCAGCCCTTCAGGGCCCACCCAGACAGGCTGTTCCAGGTGTCTGGCACATCACAGGCAGGGGCTGCTCCGGCCAGACTGGAGCAACATCTCCATATGGTAGGGGGCCACTCCAGCATGGCCATGGTGGGGGCAGGAGGGCTGCTTCAGCCTAGCTAGATTGGAGCATCTGCCTTGCCTATACGCTAACTGATTAACCAGTTAAACATCACATTTAACCAGTTAACCAATTAAATGGGATCTTGCCTCCCTATAATGCGGTACAATTAATAAAGAGGAATTCTTGCAAGGATTGACATCTAACTAGCCATTATGTCAGGTGACCATAGGCAGTCAGCTCAGGTATTACTGTAGTCACATAGGGTGCTTCTACACTGCATCCTAAACTCAAAATAAGATATGCAAATTGTGCTGCGCAAATTACATATTTTATCTTGATTTTATTTAAAAATAGTGTATTTTGAAATTTGGTGCATCTACACAGCGCCAAATTTCTAAATAAAATGCTGTTTCGAGCCATCCCTTATTCCTCATGCAACGAGCTTTACCAGGATGGTGAAAGAGCGTGCCTGTTATTTCAAAAAATATTTCCAAGTAATGAGCAGCTTGTGTAAACCTCTGGTATTCCGAAATAACCTTGCAGTGTAGACAAACCCTTAGACCTGTCCCCAAACAATAAATCACATTCCCTTTTCCACAAAATGATGTACTGCTGCTTCTTTCAACTTTCTGTTCACAAAAACTTTAAAATAAACAGCTGATTATTTTATTTTTATTATCTTATGAGAAAATATTTGAGGATATGCACCTTTATACTACAAAGAGGCTTATGCTGTTTTAAAATATTTAAATATTTAACAGCAGCTCATGAAAGTCATGCATTTCACATACCTACCATGAACATAAGCCTTCAAATATATAGGTTCACTCCATTGTAGTCTACTGCTTTCTCAAATGTAAGAATACTGTGTGTGCACCTGACTTCCTCTATAACCATTTTATGAATAAAGATTCAAGTTTCTCTCAGTACGAAATCCATTCTTCAATGGCTAGCATTACACTTTAAATACATAAGATTATCCATTATTATCAATCATTATTAGAATTCCTCAGTTTCTCAGATGAAAAAATTCTTATTGTTCGATTGCATTTTAGTGACTAAAAAAGGTTAGTTTACCATGCCACAAATACAAATTTCATTTATTGAACAGCCAGAATATCCTGGAAAAAAGAGTCCAATATGTTCCTTTTCCTTCTCCTTCATATTTCAGTTGTTGTCTTTCATCCACTGCTCAATCCACTGTATAATCTGATCTAAATTCCGCTCCAGGTCCTCTGGTGTGTTACTAGGCAACTGGTGTACAATTTCTTCCTTGTAAGATGACATTGCCTCTTCATAAATAGTCTGAAAAATCTCACATTGGATGTTGTCCTGTAGTTTTTTCCCTTTGTACCCTCTAAAAACAAAGCCAAAAACCACATAGGTAAGCAAATATAAAAAAGAGGACTGTTTCATTATTTTAATACAAATCCTGAGTTTATACTCTTGAAAGTCTCTTATGAAACTGCATGATAATTCACCTTCATTTACTCCCTGATTTACCTGCTTTCAAGTCTATCATACAGAAATGAGTTTTCGGTGCGAAGTACAAATACTATATGAAACCAGCGTTCTGGGAAGAAGTCACAGCCATGATAATCAACAATAACTCCACCTTCATTCATTTTGTCTTCTAATTCATCAATTACCTACAGAAAAATCAGACAAAGGCACAAGAAAACTCAATGCAGCTTCTTTGTAATTAATCCCCCCTCCACTTCTAATATGCTAAATTTTGAAGTTACACTCACTCGGTCTTCATCCAAAATTGGGCATTCATATTCCTCATCAAAGCCTTCATATAATTCCCCTACAGAAAAAATAATATGTTGTTTTGTGAGATGATAGCATTTGACAATACATTTATGTTCATCAGTTAGTCAATAAAAATTGTTTGCTTTTCAAATTCTTTAAAAATCTATTCTACAGGATTTTTTTCAATTAAAAAAATGATACAGATAAAAGAATTAGATAGAACATTAAAGCCAGATGGATTGACATCAGCAAACAGGAAACCTTGATTTAAATGACTGATTTTAAATATGTTTCGCATTTGAACATTTTAATTATTTTCCTTAAGAAAAGAATTGATTCTTCTTGGCTGGTAACAATTAGCATACCGATTTGGAAACAAATATGGAGTTGACACTAAATTTGGTGCCTTTTTTTGATTTGCTAACCAAGAGGACACTCCATCTATACACATGTATTGAAGCAAATGTATCGCTTAATTTACATTAATCCAATTTTTTTATTTGTGATTTCTGTCAGGCTTTCTTTTGATTAATAGTCAATTAAAATGTAAAAAAAAAGCATTTTTATTAAATAAAACATCTTAATAAGCTACATAAGAAAAAGGTTTATCAAAACATATTTTGTACTAATTTCAGAGAGTAATTCCTTTAACACATTAGTTAGTGAACTGAACTGATTATTTCTCATATTCAAGATTTTAGAACAAGTAGATATCATCCTCTTGCAGACAGTGATTTGATTCATAGATTAGAAGAGGAAAACAAGTGCTTGTTCTTTTTCAACTTCCAATTGGTTTCCTAACTTTAAATGAACTTGTTGAATAAACTGAAATGAAGAAAATATTCTCTCTGCACCTCAGAAGAGGCTACTGTTATCAAAAGATGATTTAGCACTTATGCAAATTCTGATCTAGTACATAGCCATTGACTTCCACCAGTTCAGTGGTCTGGAGTTTCTTTCGTCAGCAAATATGTACTACTTAATTTTATTTCTGGTATTTAATTTAAATGATTTTAATGAATTACAATAAATTAGACCTTAACATAAGCGGTGAATTTCACATTTAAATAGTTTATTTTAAAAAAATTCTGTTTAAATAAAATAGTGGATTCGTTTAAAAAATATCAATTTTTATCCACCCTTCATTAAAATGTCTATCATGCTACAAATCTTTTAGCACTGAATTATGCCTCTACATGGCAGAGCTGCTCAGATAACCGGTGTAATTGTTTAAGGTTGGGCAGTATAGTGACCAGTCAGTCTTGCTACACCTTCAAAAAGATGCAGTTAACACTTTCCCAAGTGTTTATCTTTCTGTTGTCTTGGGGCTTAATGCTGCCACTCTTGCTCTGGTAAGTAGTCAAGAATAAGAACAAGAATAATAGCCATACTGAGTCAGACCAAAGGTCCATCTAGCCCAGTATCCTGTCTGCCAACAGTGGCCAATGCCAGATGCCCTAGAGAGGCAACACAACATGTAATCATCATGCAATCCCTCTCCTGTCATCCAAGTCCAGATAAACAGAGGCTAGGAACACCATTCCTACCCATCCTGGCAAACAGCCATTGATGGAACTAACCTCCAGGAATCTATCTAGCTCTTTTTTGAACCCTGTTAAAGTCCTAGCCTTCACCACATCCTCTGGCAAGGAGTTCCAGAGGTTGACTGTGCGCTGAGTGAAGAAAAACTTCCTTTTGTTTGTTTTAAGCCTGCTGCCTATTGATTTCATTTGGTGACCTCTAGTTCTTATATTATGGGAATTAGTAAATAACTGTTCCTTATTCACTTCTTCCATACCAGTAATGATTTTATAGACCTATATCATATCCCCCTTAGTCTCCTCTTTTCTAAGATGAGAAGTTCCAGTCTTTTTAATCTCTCTTCATATGCCACCCATTCCAAAGCCCTAATCATGTTTGTTGCCCTTTTCTGAAGCTTTTCCAATGCCCATATATCTTTTTTGAGATGAGGCAACTACATCTGTATGCAGTATTTAAGATGTGGGCATACCATGGTTTCATATAGAGACAATAAGATATTTTTGTCTTGTTCTCTATCCCTTTTTTAATGATTCCTAACATCCTATTTGCTTTTTTGACTGCCATTGTACACTGAGTGGATGTTTTCAGAGAACTGTCCACAATGACGCCAAGATCTCTCTCTTGAATAGCTGTATTCTCTCTTGAATAGCTGAATTAATCCCCATCATATTGTATGTATAGTTGGGATTATTCTTTCCAATGTGTATAACTTTACATTTATCAACATTAAATTTCATTTGCCATTTTATTTCCCAATCACTTAGTTTGGTGAGATCTAACACCGTTGATCGATGTAGTTCCCACCCCTGTTTTAGCATCTCCTGATCTGAGTGCCCTTAATGTGCAACCTTAATTTTCTCATAATGTAGTTGTTTAAATGGAACAAGTAAATGCAAGTACTATACACTAAATCATACTCTTGCTTTTATATTCATGAGGAAGATAAATAAAAAAGAAGGGAACAGGAGAAGGCTGCCAAAATATTATTTGTTAATATCCCTATGATCCTATCCTGGCTTGTATATACTATGAAGAACTTAGCACTAAAATACCATCACATCACATTTTTGGCGACAGAGGAAAGGAAGAAACAGGGATAAGTGTAAGAAAAAACTGTATAATAGACACTGGCATGAATCACATTTTGTAAATACACTCAGTGTGATGGACAGATACACAGTTAAGATGGTAGCATAATTTTAGACTATTTGTTTAACAATGAATACCTTTTATTCTAAAAGAGTTTATATGAATATAAGTCTTGTATTTATCTCAAAAGAAGGGATTACAAGCTCTTTTAAATGCATCACCCTCATCAACCCATCCAAAAATGTACTATTTTGATTAAGCAGCAATAATGAACATTTAATATGTACTTATCTACTGCTTTCATGTCTGTCTTATTCAAAGCAATATTCCAAATGCTCCAACAGAGTATTAGGTTATACAACCTACCTTCTTTCGCTAAATCACCCACATTAATATATGTTGCCCCTACTCTTGTTGCAAGCTCTTTACCCAGGGTTGTCTTTCCTACACCAGGAGTACCTATAAAACAAATTACATATAGTGATAAATTATTTAAATGAACATTATTAATGTAATGTAATTTTATCATACCTAACATAAGTATTTTAGCAAATAAATACACCATAGTACATCACAACCCTAAACTCATTGATAAACAGAACCACAATTATGATAAAATGTCTTAAAAGAAAAAAATAAATGTTAGATTTAAAGAAACTGAGTCAGCTGTGCATATCATAAAGGCTACAAATGTCTGTTTAAATAAATCTGCCAAATAAGTGCACATACATATAAAAACCCACAACAAAATAACTACTACCAAACATCTAACCCCACAATATAGCAGAGGAGGAGAAGGAGAAGAAAGCTGGGAAAGAAAATACAAATATGAATGCATGAACACATAAAAATTAAATCTGACTCACAATATGCAATTTCAGACGAACCCCAAACTAAATCTGGTATCCTCATATAGCCATGGTAAATGTCTTGCAACAGTCTGCAAAACCCTCACTATGAAAGCCAGTTGTCAGAGTACGTATGCGAATGCATCACTGCCATTCTCGGCAAAGAACTAATGTATGTATGTATGTATCGGGGGGAGGTAGGGGGGGTGGACTGCTCGGCCTGACGTATCAAAACCTGATAATGGATCTAACAAAATTAATAAAGCACGTAATAGGCTCACTCGACTTTGCAGTCGTTAAGCCACGTAACCCAAAACAGATCCCTAGTTTCATGACTAGTCCCAGATTCCCACTGGTAGGGACAGAAGAGAAAAGTAACTTTTGCAGACGCGGCTGCTGCTTCGCTGAGGATCCCGGGCTGATCGCTCCGGAGAGCAGCGAACCCCGCTCAGGGAGCAAGTGCAACGTGGCGGCGCGCGGCTCAGTCAGCTTGCGGTGAGGGGCCCCTGGAGCCCATGTGGCTGCTTCAGCAACACACAGCTCCGGCTCCCCCGCGGTCCCTTACCCGTGAGCAGGATATTGGGCCGCCGCATGTTTGGCATCTCCGGCTCCGAAGACCAAAGCAGACTAGTCACCTAGGCGACACGTGGCCGCTTCCCGGGGCCTTCTCTAGCCTTCTAGCTCGGCGCACACTAAAGACGTCAGCAGGTGCCCCTCCTCCGCTTGGTTTGTTTGTCGGGGTTTTCTCTGGCGGGGATGCGGGTCAGGCGCTGTGCGGGCAGCTAAGTGCCGAGACTTGTGGGAAGTCCCTGCCTAACGGCGGTAGCAGAGAAACGCTGGGTCGGTTTTTCCGGCGCTACTCCGCTGCGCTAAGGGGAGGGGTCTCGGGGGCTGCGCGCTCCAGGCCCGGCCGGTGCCTCTCCTCACCTGGCGCGGGTGACTCAGGGGTTGGGTCCCGCTGTCCCCAGGCGTTTGTGCTGTTGGGACCCGCGGTCGCTGGCGCCTGGCAGCTCGAGCCCCGCAGGGCTGCAGGAGGAGCGAGCGCCCCTGCCAGGTCGCCCGCACCAGCACCCGCACCCCATGGGACCGTGACCCGCTCGAGGTGATCACAGCAGCGGGGATGGGGCTCTGAGATCACTGGGACTGGACCCCTCTTCTGGTGCAGGTGGGGGCCCTGATTGCCTGAGCGATAAGTGAGTCGGGAGAGCTAGGCTGTGCCCGGACCCGGCTACAGTCAGTGCTAGCAGGGAAACTTTAAAATGTCTCTGTAACCGGGTCACTGCTTGTGGGCGGTGCAGGGCATAACTCAGTTGCAGGGAGCCCCCTGCTCTGGAGCTGGCTTGTACCCGACCCCCCAGCTTCTTTCTAGGACAGATAGGTTGTATTTTTTCATTTTGTGTATCACTTAAAATTCACATAGGTTTCAGTTAGAAGACTAGTTAACAGTTTAATGTCTATAAGTGCTTTAGAGTCTCATCCTCAAGAAGGAAATATGCTTTAAGTCTGTTGCCCTGCCCCTTTTCTGTTTCAGGTCACTTTCTTTAATGTGCTACTAGTCATACACTGCGGATGGGAATGATAAAGGTTAATGATGTCAAAAAATTATTCTAGAAGAAAGATAGTGCCAACCAAAGTAGGTAATTGCTAAATAAAACTATTTTAAATAATAAGTTTTTTTTGGATTGGGTGTTTAAGATGGAGCTTTACTCTTGCTATAGCAGAAGTACATCTTGAATACAAGTGTGTAATTTACGTATAATATTAGAAACAAACCATTTCTACCCTTACATCTCATTCAGAGACTTAAGTGAAGGCAAGAAAGGAGAAAAAGGCAAAGGATTATTTGTAATATATTCCGTGGGTTTATCCTGAGTTTATTTCAGTGTTCTCTTTGATGACAGGTGAGGGAATCACTTGATGATTGCCTGTTCTGTTCATGCTCTTTGGGACATCTGGCATTGGCACTGTCAGAGGACAGGATACTGGGCTAGATGGACCTTTACTCTTACCCAGTATAGCCATTCTTATGTTCTCTTGGAATGGCTTAATTTCATATTATGTGATAGTTTGTGTTAAATCTGAGATTGGGTCAAGTACCAGTAGATTTGCATCGTCTTTATATACCTGGCTCTGGCTTTAAGTGAACCATTTAAAAAGGAAGACAATTTGAAAGGTAATGTTAAAAAATGTAAACAAGTTCCAAGTAATGCAGGTGCTCCTTAATCTCTGTGACAATGTTTGATTTTCAGTCACATATAAAAAAATGTTTTCCCATACTGATGCAGTGAAAAATCCATATAAATCAAAGGTAACACTGACTTTTAATTAAGGACAGTGGCCAATGCTAGATGTCCCAGAGGGAGTGAACAGAACAGGGAATCATCAAGCAATCCCTCTCCTGCACCCATTCTCAGCTTCTGACAGAAGCCAGGGACACCATTCCTATCCATCCTGGCTAATAGCCATTGATGGACCTAACCTCCATCAATGTATCTAGTTCTTTCTTGAACCCTGTTAAAGTCTTGGTCTTCACAACCTCCTCTGCAAGGAGTTCCACAGGCTGACCAAATGCTGCGTGAAGAAACTTCCTGTTGTTTGTTTTAAACCTACTACCTATTAATTTCATTTGGTGATCCCTAGTTCTAATATTCACACAATTGTTCTTTAGAATCTAATGTTTTAAAAAAAATGTTCTAGCCCTGTGGTTGATCAGTGGCAGGCAATAAAAAAAATAGCTGTAAGATGTGTATACTTCCCCACCTGGGTCAGTCAGATTTATTAGCTTTTTCATTACTAATCACTATAGGAGAAACTTGTGGTAATTATGCTTGACCTACGATTCCAAATTAATTGCCATATCTCTCCATTTAACAAAGCTCAACTATTTTTTACTTAGCTGCCAAACTTCTGTTTTCCCTGCCCTCATCACCCACCCACAAATAAACAAATGTGCAGCATCTCAAAAGTTCAAAATATAGAGGCAACATAAATTGAATAATATAAAATATTAAAGAGGCTGTCACATTCTTTGTTTTCATATTTATCTTATTCTAAACCCAGACTTTTTAATCAATAAAAAAATTGCTCCAGAATTTCCCATGCTCTGTATCAGAGTGTTCTGATAAAATGTCCTTGCCACGGAATTTAGGTCCAGTGTCCTGTGGTGCATAGGGGGCTTTCATTGTAGAACATAAGTAAGAATGAGCAAGCCAAAAGAGCTTCCTCTCAAATATTAAAGCGACAAAGCAAATGAGATAATATCATTTGGACCACATTCTGTTGGTTGCAAGAGACAAGCATTCAAACTTACTCTTCAATTATTTTTCAGTTATGGCATTTCATTATATTATTTTCATAAATGAAAATGATTGGTTGTTATTGAAAATCTTAAGAGATGTAAATTTATATACTTGAAAGATAATGCTAAGTTATTCAGAGTCAATGACAGCTGAATGTAGAGTAAAAAAAAATAAAGTTCTGTCCGAGATTAACCTTCACAAATATATGTTTTGTTAGGTAACAGATTGGGTGGCACCTTCATTTGATGATTTCTTTGGGAACACAAATATTTTATCTAGTACCATTCCTGTGAAATCACATGGGGACGATAATCAGCATCAGAAGAGAAAAGATCATTCCTCTCTTCCAGAAAATAGCAAGAACAAAGTTCTGGGCAGAATCAAGGGAAAGTCCTCTTCAATAGATCACATTTGTGATTGCTCAAAACAAAATCAAAACCAGTCTCAAAATGAACCATGGGTGGATAGATACAAACCAGGAACACAGGTATGAGAAGTATTCCAAGTGTTAAATGTGGTAAGGAATAAGTCATTTTTGTGCAATTTACTAGTTGTTCTGTTTCTCAAACTCGTCCTACCCAGAGTACAGTTTCTCAAGGTTTGATTGTCTTGCACCAGTGCAAAATCAGATTTATTAGTTGACTGTGCCAACTATCAGCAAGATAAACTTAGGTTTTAACAGCTATTTATTTACAGAATTTGCATTTTTATTCGTGTATTTCAAACATGTTAGTGTGTGTATTAACTTTCAGTCTCAGAATGGACAATCTTGCGATATAAGCGCGTACTGCAGTAAGTTGTATCTGTTGGAATATTTTATCTGTGGAGTGTAATTGAATTAGAAGGTGAATAATCTGAGTAACTGCAAATTTGCAGAAAAGTGTGGCAAAATCTGTGGAGTATTAAATTAACATTCTTATGCTTTTAAAATAATTTTCTTCTGAAATATATAAATAACAAACCTATGTCTACTTAACGGATCACTTCAGGGCACATCTTTGTTCCTTGATATTTTGAAAATTGGTAGGAATTGGAGTTGTTAGAGAAAGCAATTTGCAGTGGATTGCTAAGCACAGCAATTTGAAGTATGTATTAAAATCATGTTAAGGATAGCCACTTCTTTCTCATATAAGCACCTTGTTTGGTGTTTTTTACAAACATAAATACTAGGGATGTTAGTTGCTAGTTGGTAAACCATTTAACTGATAAGCATCGCTTATTGGTTAACAGTCCTGGTTAACTGCACCTCCACCACTCCCATGTGCTCTGCATTTGAAACTTGGACCAGCGGGCTGGCTCAGTTACAGCCCACCGGTCCGAGTTTTAAATGAAGAGCGTGCAGGGAGCCACCTGGTACCTCACACTGCTGCCTTTGATACAGGGAACCAGGCCCAGGGTTGCTGTGGACAGAGGCTGTTCCATGGGATACTGGAGCACCCTCTGTCCATGGGGAGCTCAGGGACCCCCCCCACAGACAGGGGCTGCTGCCTCTGTATAAGAGGCTGCAGTGCAGGAAGCAGGTGGAAACTATTATTCACAGGGAGCTGACTTTAAATAGGTTCACCTCGCAGACTGGCTCCTGCCTGCCACCTTGTGCTGTTGTCTTTGATACAGAGGCAGCAGCGTGGGATAGCAGAGGGTTCCCTGGGAACACACTGGCTGCTGGCCCTGCCCCCAGGGGGAGCATTTTAGCAACTGTGTAGCCACTAAGAATTGTTGTGTAGCCACTAACAATTTCTAATATCCCTAGTATTCTTAACCTGTATTAATAAAAGCTCATGAATTAGAGCTTATATGCATTTCTTCTGTTCTTTCTCATCATTCTAGAACGAGCTTGCTGTACATAAGAAGAAGATTGAAGAAGTTGAAACATGGTTAAAAGTTCATATATTTCAAAGGCAACCAAAGCAGGTAGTCCATAAATTTTCTTTTTTTAAATTTCTGATTTAATTAATGAGTTGTAAGAAGCTGAATTTGTAGTAATCATATAAATGATGTAAGAGCTCTTTTAGAGTTCAGCTAAAGTAATCTCCACATCACTGAAACAGAATTAATTATTCTGGTTCATGGGATTCAAGATAAACAAGATATTTCTTGATGTGTATCTGAAAACAAATTGGCTTGATGGGGTTTGACGTAAGTGAGGGCCTCTGTTCTTTGTTTGGGAAATACCATGTTCATAGAGGAAATCCCAACTTACGAATGGGTTGTGTTCCAAAAGTTCATTTTTAAGTTGGTTGTTTGAAACTCAGAACACAGGGCCTCAACGCCTGATTCCAGCTCTGGTGGCCACTACACGGCCCACCTGGCAGGGCTGTGCAGAGGGCAGCTGTGGAGCTCAGCTGCCCCGGTGAGCCTGTTTTCCTCCCTTCCCACTTGATGTGAGCCTTTCCCAACAACTATTTATGCCAGCTGAGGATCTGCCCAGAGATTTTTATGGAGAGTTTTTTAATGGCACAAAATGGAGTCAGGCCAACAATCTCCTTGAAATTTTAGCTGGCATGTTAGTGTCTGCTCAGCAGGGTACCTTTGTACTTCACGATATTACTATACTCCAAGTACCCTAGCATAGACACAATTATACCATCATAAAAGTAATTTTGCCAGTATAGCTGATTTTGGTTGGGGATCTTGTATAAGATCTACCAGAAATAGCATTTTTTGTCAGTAGAAGCTGCATCTTCAGTAGGTAGGTTTGCTGGTACAGCTGTATTGGCAAACCTTGGGTGTAGATCTGTCCTTTGGTAGATCGGTCCTTTTTGGTGGCACACAATGCACTTCAATGAAAACCCAGTGGGGGAGGGAAACTGCAAGGCTCCATCTGGCTTGCAGGGAAGCGCACTGTGCTCCTCCCCTCCCTACAGCAACGTGCATGCTGCCTTATCCACCCTACCTTCCCCAGTGCTCCAGGGAGGCCCAGAGCAGGAGACCGACTGGGGCATGCGGTGGAGAGCCCCTCTCCCCCCTCCTAGGAGAGCAGCATGGTCCAGGGCAGGAGTGTACGCTGGGGCAGAGGCAGATATAGGGCAGGGCGAGTGGGGCGGCCGCCCCGGGCCCCACGCTTCAAGAAGCCCCGCCCATGCGCTGTGTCAAAGGGGGGGCCCTGCGAAATTGTGCTGCCCTGGGCCCCACAAAATTCTCATCTGCTCCTGCGCTGGGGCACGCCACTTCTGAATGGTTGCTGACACCTGATCTAAGCTATTGTTTATTAAAAACTAAACTGCATTAATAAGTGCATAGGAATCATAAGGCCAATGAATGACACTTATTGTATGGTTACAGATGCAATGTAAAATAACACGTGACTGTTTAAAACCAATTACCATAATGAATATGTAAATAAATTAATTACTATAATGAATATGCAAATGTCTCTATGCCAGTGGTCCACCAGATGTTTTTGAATGAGTGTCGGTCTATGGTCTAAAAAAGGTTGGGAACCACTAGTCTAGAGACCCTGAAAAAAGACCCTATCCTGCTTTCCTTGTACATTCAACATTCCCACTGAAGCCAAAAGGGGGGGTTGATAGAACATGGAATGGAGAATTCAGCCCCTACTGGGTTATTTTCAGTCTCAGATTTTTAAGATTTTTCTCTGAAAGTCCATTTTAAAGCAGAACTGATGTGCAGCATCCTATGTGGGGGAGTTGAATCTGTTATTAGCAAAATAGTGTTTCAAACAATTATCTATCTACACTGTCTTTGTGGATCTAACTAAAGCATTTGACTCTGTCAGTCGTGAGGGCCTTTGGAAGATTATGGCCAAATTTGGATGCCCAGATACCTTCATTGAAATGGTGAAGCAGTTCCATGACGGCATGCTTGCCAGAGTCCAAGATCGTGGCAATTATTCAGAGCCATTCGCAGTCACAAACGGTGTGAAACAGGGATGCGTCCTGGCCCCCAGTCTCTTCAGCCTTATGTTCTCTGCTGTGCTGATAGATGCCTTTAGAGAAAATAATGTCAGGATCGACTTGCGCTACCGTTTTGATGGAAGGCTATTTAACTTGAGGAGGCTTCAGACCAGAACCAAGGTTCAGGTCGAGACCATTCGTGGCTTTCTATTTGTGGATGATTGTGCCCTCAACTCAGGTATGCAAGCAGGCATGCAACACTACATGAATCTATTTTCCGCAGCATGCATGAGCTTCGGCCTCACGATCTCCACCAAAAAAACCAAGGTTCTGCATCAGCCCACTCCTGGCTGTGACTACACTGAGCCATCCATCACTGTCAATGGCCAGAAGCTCGATAATGTGGACAGGTTTACATATCTTGGCAGCACTCTATCGAAGGCAGCCAACATCGACGAGGAGGTGAATACTAGAATCGCCAGAGCCAGTGCAGCTTTTGGAAGGCTTCAACTTAATGTTTGGAATCGAAGAGGCATTAAGACTGAGACCAAGCTAAAAGTCTACTCGGCGGTTGTCTTGCCCACCCTCCTCTATGCTTGTGAGACCTGGACTGTATATAGTCGTCATGCGAAAAAGCTGAATCACTTCCACCTGAACTGTCTACGGAAACTGCTGAAGATAAGATGGCAGTATAAAGTTCCAGATACTGATGTTCTTTGACAAGCATTCACACCATGCTTTGCAAGGCACAACTCAGATGGGCTGGCCATGTTGTGTGCATGTCCGATGATCAGTTGCCCAAGAAGATGCTCTATGGTGAATTACAACATGGTAAGCGATCTCTTGGAGGTCAAAAGAAGGGATTCAAAGACACCCTTAAGGCCTCCCTTAAGAACTGTAACATAGATCCTGGAAATTGGGAGAGTATTGCTGATGATCGTTCCGCCTGGCTCAGACGAATACATGATGGTGCAATAGCCCACGAAGAAAAGAGACTGGTTATGCTGCAGAGAAATGTCTTCTTCGCAAGTCCAGGGCTGGTATCTTCTCTTCCTCTGGTCGGCAGTCCGATCTTTCATGTCCCCACTATAACCGTCAATTTCGGGCTCGGATTGGACTAATGAGTCATCTCTTAACCCACCCCCAACTAAACTGATGACACTGGGTGGTCCTCATCGACTTCGATGGACGAACAGCATCTATAATGTAGATAATCTTGAAAAATAAAATTATTTCACATCTTATCTATGGCAAAACACTACTAGGCACGTGAATGTTCAGATTCCCTACTGTGGGCCATTTTGCTTAGTGTTTTAAAATGACAAGTCCACACCTCCTTTCTTAACCTCATACTCAAAATCCAGAGAAAATATATAGAAAATATTTATGTTGAGCTGTCTTCTCTCTCCTGTCCACTAATTATGTAGTGTTGTGACTAGACAAAGTGAATTGGATCACTGAGAGATAAGACACATGCATACAGATGCTTATTAAAGTTAACTTTGCAAGTATCAGCAATGAACCCTTTAAGAGTTTGTCTTATGTGTCTCAACAAATGAGTGATGTCCTTGTCAATTACTGACTTCAGCTAAAAAATAATTGAAGACATTTCACCCTTATTTCCAGTTTTAATTCGGGTAAGATTTACAGCCTCCTTTTTTCCCCAAGGTTTTTTTTCTGCCCTCTTTTTTTCCATTGCACCAGGGATCACATGAGTTTTAACATTTGTGTTTGGAGTGGGTAAGGGCTGTGTTGGCTCATTTTAAGATAGATTCTTTTTCTGTGATTTAAAATGATCTGCAGTCATCTTTGCAGTCAGTGGCCTTCTTTTTAGAAACTTCCCCTTACCTCATTAGTTATTTGTTGGACCAGACACCCTCCCTATTTCATTCCTTCTGCCCGTCACTTTTTATTTTCATGGTCTTCCTTCTCCTTGCTAATCAAACCCTTTCTTTACAACACATTTATTTCCTTACCCAGATGTAAGTTACCTTTAATTATTTTATTTTTATACTTATCCTACATAAGTAAAACAATTTAAATTTTGTGATGGGTTAGGGATGGGGTTTGTTATTCATGCTAGAATCTTTACTGATGTGGCCAGACCTACTTAGGCTATGCATGAGGAGTCCTTTTGACATTGATATTGGTTGTAGAATTGAGGTTTAAATATTCCATGTGCTGTGTATAAAATTAACACACTTTCTGATTTTAAAGATCAGGTTTTTAATTTAAAAAAAAGTTATACAAAACAACAGAAACCTTAACTTAACATTTCTTCTCTGCCTCATCTGAGATCTGAGTTTTGGTTTATAGTGTTCTTTTTTTATTAACAGGGTGGCTCTATTTTAGTACTAACTGGACCCCCAGGCTGTGGAAAGTCTGCAACTATACAAATATTGGCTAAGGAGCTTCATGTTCTGGTGCAAGAATGGACCAACCCAATATCTCTAGACTTTAGAAAAGAAGATTTCAAGGATGCTTTTAACTATGGTAATTTTCCATCAGCTATTTTTATAGTAACTTAACTGTAAAGATTTTTTAACACCTGACAATTATTAAATAAGGAGTAACTTTAAATTCCTTTTTGAGAGATCTGATGACAGAAAATATACTTGGCAAAAAGATTGTTTTATGAATTTGTTTGATATGCAATGTCAAATTAAGGCCAAAATACAGCATTCTATTTTTTAGGTTTGGTTTGAAAGGTATTTTGTTTTTCTAAAAGGACTGTTCACTGGTGGTGGAAATTCACTGTTATATAGAGGGCCTGAATAATGTCGTAAGCATGACTAAATCCACTAAGTAAGAATTAAATGCATCAGAGGGCTTTAGGCAGATCTGTTGCATTGGAAAAGAGATTTGAAATATACTTGACAGTGAACTGTTAAATAGTCATTGATATTTTCTGTTAATGGAAGATGATGGCTCTTGTATGTCTTCATAATATTTGAAATAATATGGGATTTTTTTTAAACGAATTGTACTTTTCAGAATCCAGTTTTCAGATGCTTCCCAGTCAGGCCCAGACTGTATTCTTTCAAGACTTTCTGTTAAGAGCAAATAAGTATAACAAACTTCAGATGTTAGGGGACTCCCCAGAGGCTGATAATAAACTTATTCTCATTGAGGTAAGTAAAAATCTTGAAATTGTTATATTCTTATATTACCATAAAGACCCTCATCATGTACCAGTATCTCCTTGTGCTAGATACTGTAGTACAAACTAAGGACAAAAAACAACAATCCCTTACCCCGGAGAGCTTATGTTATAAGTATAGGACCAGATAAAAAAGATGATTTAGTACAGTCAATACAATGAAACAGTATTGGTCAAGGTGAAAGGTTATGGTCCCAGCACATTGTGAGTCTGTCTATTGTCATGTTATTTGTAAAAACAACAAGGAGTCCTGTGGCTCTTTAAAGACTGTAGGATTTATTTGGGCATACATTTTCATGGGCAAAAGTCCACTTAGTCAGATGCATTTGACATCTTTGTCCATGAAAGCTTATGCCCAAGTAAGTCTGATAGTCTTTAAAGTGCCACAGGACTCCTCGTCTTATGCAATGAGATTATGAAGATAAAAGATATACAGGGAAGAGTCAAGGACCAAGAACAGATCTTTATGGAACCCCCACAGAAATCTAGAGGGGTATGAAGGAGATATTAGAGGAGTAGAAGAACAACCAGGAAAGGAAACTATGGCTACGTCTAGACTGCAAGTCTCTTTCAAAAAAGAGTGTCTAGACTACAACCAGTGCTTTCGAAAAAGCAAGCCACTTTTTTGAAAGAGAGCACCCAGGTAGTCTGGATGCTCTTTTTCAAAACAGCACAGTTTGCATTACATAGCGCCTTTATTTGAAAGAGCACTTTCGAAAAAATACGTTATTCCTCGTAAAACGAAGTTTTCTGCGGTCGAAAAAACTGCGTTCTTTCGATTTACTTTTAAAAGAATGCAGCAGCAGTCTATACGCTGGGGAAGCGTTTTGAAAAAAGCCCCCTCCCCACCCCCCCGAAAAAAACCCTGTAGTCTAGACATACCCTAAGAGGGGGAAAGATTTTCAGAAGAGTATAGCTGACTGTGTCAAAAGTGGTTGACAGGTCTAGAAGGATCAAGATTGCAGTGAAAAATATGGAAATTGGGTTGGTGAGGATCTAAGATGGAATTGAAGAGGAACTCCATACAGTGAATTTAGCGAATTTAGCCCCATCCCCACTACATGAATTTTGTTATGTGCGCCAATACGAAGATGTCACATCACCTCCATATTGGTGCACATAACAAAATTTTGTTCTGCTTAGGGGTGGGAAAAATTAGAGGAAACACTGATTTTGAAACATGCTTGTATTGTGAAGGAACGAGCCAGAGTAGGAGAGGTTAAGGAGAAAAATAAGGGAAAGTATGCATGGGGTGAGTGGATGCATGGGAGATAAGCAGATCAATTTTTTCCATTCAAGGGTCAGAGCAGACAAACTTCTAGTCATAGGAGGGGAAGCAAGAAAGTTACTTCATAATAGTTTTCTTTTGGAAGAAATTGAGATCCCGTGCAGGGAGAAGTGGAGGCAGGAAGAGATGTGGTTTTGAGGAGTGAGTCAAAGGTGGCAAAAGGGTGCTATTCAAATCTGTGATAGTTTAACATTTAACAAATGATCATCAATGTTAAATGGATATTATGTTTCTCAAAGGTCACTGTACCACAGTTTAAAGGTCTGCTGTCTTCTTTGAACCTGTTTTACTGTCTTTAGTTATACCCATGTGAATTGATTGGAAAGCAGAAGTTGCTTTAATCTCTGGCCATAGAAAGTAAGTGAGTATGCTACCAAAGAGTGGCTGAAAACCACACTGAAGAGCAGCTCTCCCACTAAGTTTCAGTATATAGCTTTAAATGTAGCTTGAAAAGTGAAATTATTTGTGGTTGTATCCTCTTCTTTTGCTGTTTTGTTGTGGAATTTCCTTGCAGGGCATGTGAGTTTGGATCTTTCACTGCCCTCACTGCAGGGTGGGAGGAGGAAAATAATCTTTTAATCTTTTCTTCCAATTATTTGTTCAGGCATTTTTGTTTAACACATTTCAATACAGTTTGAATGAAAATTACTTCTTTCGTCAGTCATGTTTCTTTGACATGATCTTTCTGAGTTCATAAGTGACCTACTTCTCTAGTCCTCCATAATCTCCATGAAAAGCAAAGTAGATAAGATCTAAATTCCTAATTTCAAAACCTCCCACAAAGTAACATATTTGTGGAAAGCAGGAAAATTCTCAGCCCTCTTAATCCATAATAAAGGAGAAAAAAGGTACAGAACCATTATTTTCTTCTACTGTTTTGTTCCTATCTTAAGTTTATTTTAAAAATTATTTAACTACACATTTATGTAGTTGATCCAACCACATGTTGAATTTTGGTTGAATCCAGTGTGGACAGGAGAAAAACTCTCTCTTCATAGAAGGCTTTAACTTTTAGTCCACTAACAGAGAACAAATAGATTTGAATTACAGTACTTCATTTTGTTTTCAATAGGATATGCCTAACCAGTTTTATCGTGATCCTGATAGTTTACATGAAATTCTGAGGTGAGTTGTCAGTAACCTGCTTGTGGGCTGAAATCCTTAACTGCCAATAAATTAGAATTTGTGACCCTTGTTATGCTTATTTTGTGTTTTAGGAGGTTTGTGCGGACAAGTAGATGTCCCCTTGTGTTTATAATCTCAGACAGTCTCAGTGGAGGTAGCAACCAAAGGTTATTATTTCCAAAGGAAATTCAGGAAGAATTTTGTATATCTAGTATAAGGTAAGAAATTATTCAGTACATAAAATTGACCAGAAGGTTAAGTATGGAGCCAATTGTTTAATGAAAACTTTTTCTTATTGAATTTGCTAGTTTTAACCCTGTGGCTCCAACAATGATGGTGAAAGTTCTTAATCGAATAGCTACAGCAGAAGCAAGTATGGTAAGCCATCAAATGCTGCTTAACTTCCACATGGTACTAGGGTGACAGCAAAATATTTTAGGATTATGTTGTGGTTTCACCCGTTTTCTATTAATGCAAAAATAAATTTTTCAGAAGTGTTTTGTTTGCCATAAGTAGTGATCCATTGACAAGAGTCTGTCTTAATTCCTGAGGTGACTTTTGAAAATTCTTCTGTATGTAGGCCTCAATTGAAATATTGTGTCCCAGTTCTGGACACCATATTTCAAGAAAGATGTGGAAAAATTGGCAAAGGTCCAGCGAGGAGCAACAAAAATGATTAAAGGTCTAGAAAACATGAGCTATGAGGAAAGACTGAAAGAACTGGGCATGTTTGGTTTAGGAAAGAGAAGACTGAGAGCGGGCTTGAGAGCGGTTTTCAAGTATCTAAAAGGATGTTATAAGGAGGAGGGAGAAAAATTGTTCTCCTTGGCCTCTGAGGACAGGACAAGAAGCAATGGGCTTAAACCGCAACAAAGAGGTTTAGGTTGGACATCAGGAAAAACTTCCTGTCTGTCAGGGTGGTTAAATACTGGAATAAATTGCCTAGGAGGATTGTGGAATCTCCATCACTAGAGATACTTAACATCAGGTTAGACAAACACCTGTCAGGGATGATCATTCTATCTAGATAATGCTTGGTCCTGCCACGAGGGCAGGGGATTGGACTTGATTACCTCTAGAGGTCCCTTCCATTTCTAGTGTTCTGTGGTTCTAAAAGCAGCTGCTAAAGCGCATAAAGCAAATTATTTTTACGATGGTGATATCACAGATGGACTCCATACTCACAGCAATGGGCCTTGGGTATGCAGGAAATATTTGAAAGTTATTTTTACTTCAGATATTGCAATAATTTTTGCTTTGTCTTGTAGAATGGAGAAAAATTTGCTGTCCCTGATAAAAGCTCTTTAGAGTTGATTTGTAAAGGCTGTTCAGGTGACATTAGAAGTGCAATAAACAGTCTTCAGTTTTCATCTTTGAAAGGTAAATATATAGAACTTTTTCAGCTCAAGCATATGGGTAGTATTTAAACCAGTGTTTCCCAAATGGTGTTCCGTGGAACTCTGGGGTTCCAGGAATGAAAATAAGGGTTCCATGAGAAAATTCCATTACAGTAACATTTTATGATTTAAAAAATAATAATTAATATTTAAGTATGTATTTTATTTGAAACCATTTTTGTTTGTTTGCCACAATAAGTGTCCCTGTTTAATGCCGGCTTAGCCAGAGAGTGGGGACGATGATGTCCCTACTCAGAGCTGTGCGTGCAGTCAGTCAGTGGTGCAATCACCTGTTATATATCACTGTAAATCCTTGTACTCACTCTTAGGGAGTGTAGAACATGTGGGTGACTGAATACGCATATATTAGCACTGCATCAGACAAAGTCGAAGCTTCAGCTGTCAAACCAGTTGCTTGTATGGGAGTGCACAGGCAGTGCTCTTGCTAATACTTTACTTCAATACAGTCACATACTTTCTTGACTGTTTATCTCATGACCTTGTTTAGCATTTGTTTATTATTATCCTTATTTATTTGTGATCTATTTTTTCAGCTCCATATATGACTGTTTATTGGGGGTTCCACAAAATTCTTTCGAGTTTAAAAGGATTCCGTGGCCTAATAAAATTGGGAAATGCTGATTTAAACAATTCTGTGGCAGACACACTTTTTTATATTTTTTAACCCAATTATGTCAACTTCCGAGAAAACCCTTTCTACACTGTCAGTGGAATAGTAGGGAGGACTTCTTTGAACACTGTTGCTATGTGTCTGTCTTAGACATCTTAACTTACTATTAGCTTACAACAAGGACTTTTCTTAATATTGGCCAACTATTGAGGCTAATACATAGCTTTGGAGAAGAGAGGTGTAAGTAAAGATTTTTAAATGACTGAAAGAAGAGCCAAATATATATTTCCATATTTCAGTGGAAACTCTGAAACAAGATACCATCTACATTCAAGAAATATGACGTGGGCTTTGTAAAAGTGAAAATTTAGGAGTTGAAATTCACATTAGAACCCATAGATGATGCCAGCATAATTCTTCAAATTAAAAATATAGGCACTGGCTTGGAAGTCAAAATGTGATTTATCTGAGTGTAACAAATAGGATGGTTGGCCAAACCTGAAGAAGATATTTGCATAAGCTTGAGTTTTTCATGAACAGCAGTTGGTCCAATGAAAGATATTACTTTTTCCACCTTGTTTCTAGAGAAAGGGATTTGTTATCATCTGCTCGATTATTTCCTACCATCTCAAATTTAATTTGTTTGTTGCTTCATGTGTGTGCAGTGGCTATGATAGGGTAGCCAGAGCTGCCACAAATTGGGATTTTCAAGAGCTTTCTGCATTAGAGGCAAGCATTGCATGCTTTAGAAATGTCCTCCCATGCATAACAAACAAAGTAATGAGATAGTTGAGGGTTTGCTGCACATTAATTTACTTTTGTTAATATACATTTGTATAACCTCTTAAATGTATGATTTTGTAAGTTATGTCTCTAGATTGATAATTCAGAGTTTAAATTTTATTTTCCCTCCTAGTTACTGATTTTCAGATTAAAAATTCATGTTTTTCCCTCTAAAATATTCAGAGACAGTTTATTGTGCTTTTTTTTAAAAAAGTGTATACATTTTTGTAAGGGAAAAAAACTGTCAGCCAACAGTCAGGGCTGTGTGTGTGTGTGTGTGTGTGTGTGTGTGTGTGTGTGTGTGTGTTAGTGTTACACCCAAGTCTTCAACTGCTGAGACGCAAGGTCCCGTTGCAGCGGGCAGCCTAGGAAGGGCGCCCCGTAATTTATAGGAAGAACTTATTACATCTCAGATTTCAGCTGCTAGGATACAGGATCCCTTCGCAGCGGGCAGTCTGGGGAAGACTGAGAGATGCCCCAATGGATCTGTCGCCTGGGAGTGACACGATTCAAAACACCCAAGCTCTTCCTATACCTGTCCCTTATGACCAGCTGAAGTTCTTTTAAATTGTGCTTGGTTCTGTTTACAGCAACTGAAGGAGTCAGGTTAAAGCTTAAACAGTTACAGGTTTATTAGAGAAGCTTATAAATCATATGGTTACAATGGCTATTGCTCTATTTCTTAGATGCTAGCAAATATAGATCTTAAAAATGGTTACAAAGAAGATAAAGATAGAAAAATAGAAATAATGGTACCAAGTAACAGCTTAATCTTTTAAAGAGCTCTAAGTCTATGTGTACACTTAAGACAAAGGACCACAACCAGGTACAATTTTTACCCCCTTCTGTGCCTCTCGACTCCCGCGGGTCAAGCCGACCAGCAGGTAGATGGTAGATTGACACTCAAAGTGAGTGTGCTGCTGGACCCATCTTTATACCCATGGGGTCACGTATTTCTCTTTCTTATCTGTGATGCCAAATGGTGGTGGTCTGTCTTTTGTGACACCAGTTCTTACAAGGGAGTTGTGAACATAATTTATACTTGTAAGAGAGAGAACTAAATTGGAAGTACTGGGCATTCTTTTCTCAGTGGGAGATTCCTCTCCCGGGGACGACTGTGTGAGATCGTATCAACATAGGTGCCAACCAGGGCAGTTCTCGCAGCCTTGAGGTCAGCATATTGCCTTAATCGCTCTTTTCTCATATCTATGTTTTCAGCTTTTCAGGATCAGATGAGCCAGCATAGACTATGCTGATTTTATTGCTCCTTCTCTGTCCTGTATGCTTCAGGAACCTCAGAGAGGCAAATAAGATGGATGTGACGGGGGGGAGGCGTCTGTTTGGCTACAACTACCCACTAAATATATAAGTTTGAGTGTTTAGTTTTTAGGGGACATTCAGATTGACACTGAAATAAGCATTTTGTCATTTTAGTATTAGCCTAACTTACAAATACGAAACTGGCTTAAGTGCTTATGTATCAGAATAAATGAGCTTGAGACTTGTGTTCATTATTTATTAATAATTAAGAAATACTAAAATCCGTGAAACAGAAGTTTTATTTGTTTCAAGATGAAAATCAATCATTTAATTAGAAAATTTACCCAGCATTGTTCGGATCCTTAAGTCAAATAAGTTTTGTTTTTCTTCATTGTTCTGGGGTGGGCCTGGAGACAAGGTGTTCAATATGCAGGCTGTCTTGGGGAGAGAGGACAACCCCAGTCCTCTCTTACCACAGCAGAATGGGGCTAGGTGAGAAGTGCTAGTCCTGTGCAGTTACAGCTGGGGGAGGTGTGCGTGTACCCAAACTCGAGGACTGACAGACAAACTTTCTGACATATTCAGGGGGTAGCTGAGTTAATCTGTACAGTATAAACTTAAAACAACAAATGGTCTGTAGCACTTTATAGACTAACAAAACATGTAGATGGTTTCATGAGCTTTTGTCGGCGCAGCCCACTTCTTCAGATGACTCATGCTCCCCGACCTGGTGGACGAACAGATATAGAGACAGACACCGAAACAGCCAAAATCTCTGAAATATATAGTAGATAATGGTCCTTTCCCTCATCTCTGCCCCCTGCTGGCCCGATGGGGTTATAGCTGTCCTGTTTTCTGTCTCTGGTCCCTTGCTTTCCCTCTCTGCTCATTCCAGAGTATAATTCCTTCCTGCCAGACCACTCCATTTCCATTTTATGAGAAACAGTCTAATTCCATGCACATCCCATTATCCTGGTGCAACCAAACCCTGACTTTGCTTTAAGTTGTGATAAGAGGAAGCTGCCTACCAAATTTGGTGGTCCTAGCTCTTACTGTTTAGGAGGAGTTCTTGAACAAATGGACTCAGCCACAGACACACATTCCTAAAATATATAATAAGAAGGGAGTTAATACAGTTCTGAAAATGGACTATTCAAGAGCTCTCCCTTTTTATTTCACAGATGTTAGTATACCCCCTTTATTCTAGTTGGGTTTTTTTTGCTTTGATTGACAGAGTACTCATCAGAGAACAACTTGTGGTCAAGGAAGAAAGGGAACTCTACATTAAAATGTAATACAGAAGCATCCAGAACCAGGAAGAAAAAGAAAGCTGATAAGATTTCAGAAAACCAGGAGATACAAGCTATTGGTGGAAAAGATGCCTCCATCTTTCTTTTCCATGCTTTGGGGAAAATACTGTACTGCAAAAGTAAAAGGACATTATTTACCTATTATTCATTGTTTAAATGTGAAACAATTAATGATCTGTTGATAGTCAATGTATTTGCAAAATTATTTCTTAGACTTTACCTGTAATTCAACTATTCGTTTAATCATTAGCAAGAGCATGAAGAGATTAGCAGTTGTGAACAACAGTTTGTTTCTTGTACCTTGGATTTTCATTGACTGTTCACCTTTTACATACCGTTTTTTAAAAGTTACAATTTAGTTATTTATTTAACACTTTTACACTGGAGTACCTCTAGAAATCTATTTGGTCAGAGCCCAATTGTGCTAGATGCTGGACAGACATAGAAAACCAACTCCAGCCCAAAGGGATTATGAGAAAATGGTGAGGTCCAAGAAAATATTTTTTGCAAATGGTTGATGATACCACAAATAACCTGTAACTAGGGCTGTCCAGTGATTAAAAATTAATGGACAGTAATCATGTGATTAAACAATAAATATTATTTAAATATGTTGATATTGTCTATATTTTCAAATATTGTATTCCAATTACTACACAATAGGGTGTACAGTGCTCACTTTTTCATTACAAATATTTGCACTGTAAAAACAAAAGAAATAGTATTTTTCAAAATGCATAATAAAAGTACTGTAGTGCAATCTCTTTATCATTAAAATTGAACTTTCAAATGTAAAATTGCGGGGGGAGGGAAAACCCCAAACTCTACATTCAGAAATAAAACCTCAAACTTTAGAGCCTACAAGTCCACTCATTCCTACTTTCTCTTCAACGGATCACTAAGAAAAACATTTGCATGAGATAATGCTGCCCACTTCTTGTTTACAGTGTGGCCTGAAAGAGAACAGGTGTTCACATAGCTCTTATAGTCTGCGTTGCAAGATGTTTACGTGCCAGACCCACTAAAGATTCACAAGCCCCTTCATGGTTTATTCACCATTCGGGAGGACATGCATTCATGCTGATGATGGGTTCTACTTGATAAAAGTCCAAAGCAGTGTTGACCAACACATGCTCATTTTAATTGTATGAGTCAAATGCCACCAGCAGAAGGTTCATTTTCTTTTCTGGTAGTTCAAGTTCTGTATTTTTTGCATCACAGTGTTTCCCTTTTAAGACTTCCGAAAGCATGCTCCACACTTTATCCTTCTCAGATCTTGGAAAGACTTCAGATTCTTAAACCTTGGCTTGATTACTGTAATTATTTTAATAAACTTGACCTTGGTACCTCCTTTGCATTTTGTCATATCTGCAGTGAAAATGTTCTTAAATTGAAAAACTTGCTAGGTCATCATCCAAGGCTGCTATAACATGAAATATATGGCAGAATGTGACTAAAACAGAGCAGAAGACATACAATTCTCCCCCAGGGAGTTCTACACAAATTTAATGAAAGTATTATGTTTTTAACATGCGTCAGCATGGAAGTATATCCTCAGAAATGGTGGCTGAAGCATGAAGAGGCATAGGAAAGTTTAATATCTGGTATGTAAATACCTTGTAGTGTCAACTACAAAATTGCTATGCGAATGCCTATTCTCATTTTCAGATGGTATTGTAATTAAGAAGCAGGCAGCATTATCTCCTGTAAATGTCAACAAACTTGTTTGTCTTAGTAGTTGGATGAACAAGAAGTAGGAATGAGTGGACTTGTAGGTTTGATTTATTTTTTAATCCACGGGTTTTTTTTACACAATTTTATATTTGTAAGTTCCCCTTTCATGATGAAGCGATTGCACTACAGTATTCATGAGCGTTGGATTGAAAAATACTAAATCACATTTACAGTGTTAATATTGGTAATTGTAAATAATACCAAGTAAGCACTGTAGTTTGTATTCTGTATTGTAAATGAACATATTTGAAAATGTAGAAAAACACCCAAAAATGTGTAATAAATGTAAATTGATATTCTATTGTTTAACCATGTGATTTAAACTGCAATTTATCGTGATTTTTTTTAAAGTTAATTGTGTGAATTAACTGATTAATCGACAGCCCTACCTATAATATAACGAATTCCTTATTGCTGACTGTCTAGTATAAGTTCATTAAGCAGTAATGCTTAGATTAAGCATTTCATGGCAGTTAAAACCAAGTATGCTTAATCTAAGCAGTTACTTGCTGCCAAGAAGTGCCTGATAAAGGAGAGGCCATTGTTTATAAATCTAAAAAGTGTGAAGTGAATATAATCTTGTTTAGGTGCTAAAGTTAACAGTCGTACAGCCTGTTCTCATGGATATGATAAATCAACATAACATGGGGTCTAATTCACTAAAAACTGAGGAGCATTCCTCTGCTTTTGCAAGCAGTGGCTTTGGCTCTAGGCTTTTCCTAGCAATTAAAAACCAACACAGTAACCAATAGGAAAAAAAGACTTAATTCTCAGCATTCTATAAACTGATAATGCCATTTTACGTTATACATTTCTATCCTTACCCCATCCCCTCTTTCACATCATAAATTTAAATATAAAGTAAGATATCGGATTTTATTATTGGTTTATGGTTAAGGTTCACTACAAACAGCATTGTTTTATATTTAATATTAAAGACTGGAATTATTTAATTGACTTACAGGAGAGCCATTATCTGATTCAGAATTTCCTCGGTTACCCTCTCACCTATCTGAATATGAAAGAGACACCTTGCTTGTTCAACCTGAGGTAAAGGCTTTTATGCTGCTTGATGGATGCAACAGTTTTTGTCACTTACTGTGTGTATAATTATAAATAAAATAAATATATTAATAATGAACATCACATGACACTTCTCTTTTCACATTGTGCAGAACATAGACTTACTTCTGTATTTTTTTAATTAAATAGGATATTGTAGAAAAGTCACACATGCCTGGAGACCTATTTAATTTATATCTTCACCAAAACTATGTAGATTTTTTCACCGATATAGATGATGTTGTGAGAGCCAGTGAATATTTGAGTACTGCTGACTTCCTCTGTAGTAACTGGAATGTAAGTTTGATTCATTTTCCTTCTTAATTTTCCGATGCAGCAGCCACATATCAGTGGATGCTTCCTGATTTATAATAAAAGAAAATAACCTAGGTTTTTACCTTTTATCAATGTTTTAATTGATTTACAACTATGTAAGAATAACTGTCCTGAGGGTGTAGTCAAAATTGTTTCTGCATAATAAACTGTTTAATGTGTACATATTAAGCAGCTGTACACATTTTTGTTAAGTTTTATATTAATATTTCCCACAACATACAATAGTGTGAACAAAATACTTGCCTCGAGTGCTGTTCTTGTAGGATTGGGATGAATATATTTTAAAAATTGGTTTGGAGAGTATGCCTTTCACTTGAAATAACTAAGCCAGTTCATGCTTTTATCCTTTCTGAGGGTTCCAAACATGGATGAGTAGCTGCAAATATACAGCAGTGTTTGCTTACCTTTGTAGTCTTGCACATTGATTCAGCAAACTTCACAAATTGCATAATGTCATCTTTTATTTTAGTCACGACCTACACTCAGGGAATACAGTGCATCTGTGGCTACAAGAGGTGTGATACATTCAAATACTGCTAGAGCCCTTGCTCATTGTCAAGGAGGAATGGGTTTTCGGCCTTTTCATAAACCCCAGTGGTTCCTAATCAACAAAAAGGTAAATACTTCACATTCAAGATACATTTTCACATTTGAATATAAGTAACTGCTGTGATTTATAATGTTGTGTATGGGATTATTCGTATTAAAAGCAGTATACTAAAAATTCAGTAACTATTCTCAGACACAGACTTAGATCATAGAGCTTGAAGAGACCTCAGAAGGTCATCATGTCCAGCCCCCTGCCCAAGGCAGGACCAATCCCAAGTAAATCAACCCAGCCAGGGCTTTGTCAAGCCAAGACGTAAAAACCTCTAGGGATGGAGATTCCACCACTTCCCTAGGTAACCCATTCCAGTACTTCACACCCTCCTAGTGAAATAGTTTTTTCCTAATATCCAACCTAGACCTCTCCCACTGTAATTTGAGACCATTGCTCCTTGTTCTGCCATCCGTCACTACTGTGAACAGCCTCTCTCCATCCTCTTTTGAACCTCCATTCAGGAAGTTGAAGGCTGTATCAAATTCCTCCTCACTCTTCTCTTCTGCAGACTAAACAAACCTGAATCCCTCAGCCCCCCCCCCTCTTCTCTTCTACAGACTAAACAAACCCAAATCCATCAGTCTTTCCTCATAGGTCATGCCCTCCAGCCCCCTAATCATTTTGGTCGCCCTCAGCTAGACCCTCTCCAATGCGTCCTCATTCTTTCTATAGTGGGGGGCCCAGAACTGGACACAATATTCCAGATGTGGCCTCACCAGAGCCAAATAAAGGGGAATAATCACTTCTCTGGATCTGCTGGCAATGCTCCTCCTAATGCACCCTAATATGCCATTAGCCTTCTTGGCTACAAGCGCAGCCTGTTCACTCATATTCAGCTTCTCATCCACTGTAATCCCCAGGTCCTTTTCTGCAGAACTGCTACTTAGCCATTCAGGCCGCAGCCTGCAGCAATGCTTGGAATTCTTCCATCCCAAGTTCAGGACTCTACACTTGTCCTTGTTGAACCTCATCAGATTTCTTTTGTCACAATCCTCTAATCTGTCCAGGTCACTCTGGACCCTCTCCCTGCCCTCCAGCGTATCTACCTCTTCCCCCTAGCTTAGTGTCATCTGCGAACTTGCTGAGGGTGCAATCCATCCCCTCATCCAGGTCATTAATAAAGATGTTGAACAAAACCGATCCAAGAACAGATCCTTGGGGCACTCCACTAGAAACCGACCGCCAACCTGACATCAAGCCGTTGATCACTACCTGTTGACCTGACAGTCTAGCCAGCTTTCTGTCCATCTTACAGTTCATTTATCCAATCCATATTCCCTTAACTTGCTGGCAAGAATATTGTGGGAGACCATATCAAAAGCTTTGCTAAAGTCAAGGTATATCGCATCCTCTGACTTTCCCATATCCACAGAGCCAGTTACCTCCTCATAGAAGCTAATCAGATTGGTCAGGCACAACTTGCCCTTCGTGAATCCATGTTGACTATTCCTGATCAGTTTCCCCTCTTCCAAGTGCTTCAAAATGGATTCCTTGAAGATCCCCTCCATGATTTTTCCAGGGACTGAGGCAAGGCTGACTGGTCTGTAGTTCCCTGGATCATCCTTCTTCCGTTTTTTAAAGATGGGCACTACATTTGCCTTTTTCCAGTCATCCGGGATCTCTCCCAATCTCCACGAGTTTTCAAAGATAATAGCCAATGTCTCTGCAATGACATTTTCCATCTCCCTCAGTACCCTCGGATGCATTAAATCCGGGGCCATGGATTTGTGTATGTTTAGCTTTTCTAAATAGTTCCTAACTTGTTCTTTCCCCACCAAGGGCTGTCCACCTCCTTCCCATACTGCATTGCCTGGTGCATTTGTCTGGAAGCTGACCTTGTCCGTGAATACAGAGGCAAAGAAAGCATTGAGTACTTCAGCTTTTCCCACGTCATCTGTCACTAGGTTACCTCCCTCATCCAGTAAGGGCTCCACACCTTTTCTGATTACCCTTTTATTGCTAACATGCCTGTAGAAACCTTTCTTGTTATCCTTCAAATCCCTTGTTAGCTGCAATTCCAATTGCGCTTTTGCCTTCCTGATAACTCCCCTGCATTCTCGAGCAATATATTTATGCTCCTCCCTAGCCATCTGTCCAAGCTTCCCCTTCTTGTAAGCTTCCTTTTTGTGTTTAAGCTCGCCAAGGATGTCCCCGGTAAGCCAATCTGGTCGCCTACCATATTTGCTTTTCTTGCTGCGCATTGGGATGCTTTCTTCCTGTGCCTTTAATAAGGCTTTTTTAAAATATTGCCAGCTCTCCTGGATTCCTTTCCCTTTCTCCTTTTCCTCATTTTTTGAGGAGTACAGGATCTGTTGAAAAATCACCTCGCTGTCGGCAGAACCGTGGCTAAGCCGTGGTTTCAGTTTCGAAATGGCGCCCAAACGTGATTATGCAAATGAAGTGTTGCACTTCTTATGTATCTAATTTACATCCGTGTGCTGACAGGGGTGTAGTTCAGACATGGCCTTATTTTCTACTAATTGGAAAATAATGAGGGATCCCAGCCTGTTTTCCACCCAAAATCAGTGTTCGAAACCTTGAAATGCAAGTTAATAAGATAGAAAGTTAGTGCAAAAGAAGTATAGTGAAATGTGTTGTAAATGAAGTCAGACTCATGCCCCTTAAGCTGTCTGAATCTGATTTGTAAGGTGAATAATTGTTTCCCTTACTATTATTGTGCTTTATATGTCTGTGATAAACTGTTCAACTATACAGTTACAAGGCCCTTGAAAAAATGTGTACTTCATTTAAAAATGCCTTGTCCTGGCACACAGATTGTTAACCTTAATGAGGCATTCTGTAATTCACTTAGAGGAGTCTTCAGAAACACAAGAGAAACACAAGACAGATTTGAAGGAAATAAACTTAATGTACAGATGTTAAGTATTTGGTATTTGACTAATCAAATAGCTGAAGCAATTTTGCATCAACTATTCGATTAGTCGATAGGGCGCCTTTGCCTTTAAAGTATAGCAACAGTCCTAGAGCTGTTGCCGCACTTCAGAGGCAAAAGCGCCGAAGCCTGGGGTCAGCTGGGGACTCCCTCATTAACGCTGTGCTACATGCAACGCTGCAGCTTTGAAATGCTGTAGTGCCGTGCAAAGCCCAAGATCAGCAGGGGACATTTCAAAGTGGCAGTGCTATGAGGATCCTGAGGTCAGCAGGGGACTCCCCAGCTGACCCCGGGCTCTGTGTGGCACTGCTTTGAAATGCCATGAGGAGCCTGACACAGGGCTGCCTGTGGCATTCAAAGTGGTAGCACTGCACGGAGCAGCTAGCCCCGGGCTCCATGCAGCGCTGCCGCTTTGAAGTACTCCCTTTTTCTCCTCCTGCCCTTGCTGCCTCTATCTAATAGAGACAGCAAGGGACAGGAGGGTAGCGACTAGTTGACTATCCTGTCAGCTACCCAGTAAGCATTTGCTTACTGGATAGCCGACTAGTCCTTCACATCCCTATCTTAATGATGTTGTTTGTTTTTTAATTCAACCTGGTTGCTTATCTCTTGTTTCAACTCTCACCCCTTATTAGCTGTCTGAAGAACAATTCAATAGGCGAGGGTGTAACTTATTGTGTTTTGGATGTTGCAGATTGTTTGCGTGAACATTCATTACAGTTTATAACATATAGCAAACTACATAATTATACACACAAAAGTACAAAAGCGGAAATGTGGGGTTTTTTTTATTTTTTTAATCTTAATTAAACGTGCAGGTAGTATGGGTTTTTTTTCAGTTTTTTTTTTTTTTTTTAAATCTTGTAGTATCAAGAAAACTGCCTTGCTGCAAAATCTCTATTCTCAAGTTTCTGTTTGACACCGTTATGTCTTCAGACCCAACTGTTGCCTTTTCTTGCTCTGCTGACAAATCCAATGAGAAACCAAGGTAAGCGTCAACATAACCTTTTTTGTAATTAAAAATAAGATTAAATTCCTGTCCACCAGCCACTACAGGGATTGGTAACATACAGCATGCATGACATAAGTGGCATGCAAGATGATTTTCAGTGGCATGCGCAATGAATGGGCTCCCTCTCACCTGCAATGGGGAGCCCGTGCTGGTAATCCAGCATTGTGCCACCTGCAAGATTGGAGCCAATGTTGGCTTCCTGTGGGTCTGAAGCCCTGAGGCTCCACGCTGGATCTGGTTTATGGGGGAGCGCGTGCACGCTGCTTCTCCCCTTCCCACAACAATGCATACGCTGTCTTATCCACCCTACCTTCCCCCGTGCTCTGGGGAGGCGGAAAACGGGAACTGAATAACCTTCTCCTGCCTGGGAGCCCAGGGCAGGAGACCGAGCAGGGCACGTGATGGAGAGAGTCCCTCCTTCCCCCAGGAGAGTGGCGTGGCCCAGGGCAGGAGGATGTGCTGGAGCATGCCATTTCTGAAAGGTTGCCGATCCCTGTTCTACTGTATATTTGAGAGAGTTTGCCTGGCTGTGTGTTGTTTGTTTGTTCAACTCCTAAACATAAAAGCTAAGACCACCAAATTGGGTATGCAACTTCTTTTTACAACTTAAACCAAGGTAAGGGTTTGGTTGTGCCAAGAAAGCGGAATATGGCTGGAATGGGTTTGCTTCTCATAAAACCATGGAAAAAAGAGACAGAATGACCAGTCAAGTGAGAGGGGCTGGGGCATCTGCCCATTCCCCTATGTGTGCCCCGCTCCCCTCCCATTCATACGGGAACATTGCTGTCTCTTTC